CTTGGAGGTTCATGGGTAGAGCTCCCCAGGGTTTAGGGTTTAGGGACCCTACTTGGAGGTTCATGGGTAGAGCTCCCCTAAACCCTTTAGTATGGGTTCAGGGTTTAGGGTTTAGGGAGTTTAGGGTATAGGGACCCTACTTGGAGGTTCATGGGTAGTTTTAAGTAGGGGTTATAAGTCCCCTAATAGGGGTTATAATTATAGCTACCCTACTTATGACCCCACTTATAACTATCCATGAACCTCCAAGTTGGGTTTTGGGTTTGGGGGCTTAGGCTTTGGGGGTTCAAAGCGCCAGGGGCTGGGGAGTTTAGGCTATCAGTAGGGTTTAGGTTTAAGGCCGCTCAGACGAACACAAGTCAAAATGACCATGACATACCATGACCATGATCTTTTTCAGGGATCACTCCTGTTTGCAGAATGCAAGCTTCGTACAGTCTTCGCAAAATGCATCCTGCGACGTCGCAAGTGCCCACAGATGAATGTCAGCCATCGGCTCCAAACCGCTCAAGCATCTGTTTGCCCATGGAGCCCTCCCACGGACCAGTCTCTTCCCAGTCCATCGATGCATCGGCGAGGAGGACAAGGAGAAAACTCCTGTCGGGGTGCAGAGCTCCGGGTCTTTCTCCTCCTCGCCTGGCGTCCGGCATCTTCTGCCTCTCCACACAGCAAAGCAAACACGGTTGCCCAAGGAAGCTGCAGAAGGACCGCCAAGGCGGTAACATCATGCACGGATTGCCCCAAGACCTCGTGTAGATATGTGGATAGATGCTGAGAGCCCACGGAAGAGGACCCCACACCAAAGCATATTCTATCATAATCTATTTGCGATATGCATTGCATTTACATCGCAGGCTGAGTTAAGATTGGAGGAAGACCTGAGCAACGGCAAAGGTCCAAAAGCCTGTTCTCAATCAGAAGGGTTATGCTAAGAAGTAACATGCGGTTACAATACAGACTGCTCTAACATTGCACCAGCTCAGCTTGCACAGACAAAGCCCTAACATCCCGCGCAGCTCTGCTTTAGAGTCAAAGATAAAGCCATTATTATGATGACTATTATTACTATTATTATTGTTATCATTATTACTATCATTACTATTATTACTACTATTATTATTATTGTTATCAATACTATTCTTATTATTGTTATTCATACTATTATAATTTTTGTTTAAATCTCTTGTAGATCCCTGCCTGTAAGGGGCCCTCTGTAGGAACCCTAACATCCCCAAACCCTACAAGCTCAAAGAGGCACTCCTAAACGTCCTAGACCCTTCATGTCATGGCTGTCTGGCAGGGAGGTGGGATCAAGGTTTATCAAGGTGGCCAACGCCCACTCAGAATCCCTAAACCCAAAACCCAAAACCCTAAAACCCTACACCCTAAACCCTACACCCTGACCCTAAGCCTCCCGAAATCATCAGGAGTTTGGGGCTTCGGCTTTAGGCTACAGCGAGCTGGGGCCTCCCTGCAACCGTCAGCACACTTTAAGCGTACTTTAAACTACAATCCCTCTCTGGACTTCTCTGCCCTCCGAAACCCTAAAGAATTCGAACGGCCCGGCTGCACATAGACTCGTTTTCGATGCATCCGACCCCTTAACGGCACAACCATAAAGGAACCCTACGGAGCCCGAAAAGGATCCCTTAAAGGAGCCGACGGTTCCCCATGCCGTCGGGATTCGAAGCAGCGACGGGGCGGTGGTGACTCGGAGGTGTCCGGGGGCCTGCGCTGGGCTCTATACATCCTGGGTATTCTTCGAGGGTATCGTAGAAGCTGGCAGCTAGGATATATTCCTGTACGAGGGTACTATAGAAGGTCTATCAAGCTTTACCGTTTCGGGGTAGTAGGCCCGCAATGGACCCCGTTCTTGATGCGCTTTGCACAGGTAGCAGGCTCCAAGCTAGCTAGATTGGATTCTAGACCGATGACAATAATGAAGGCATTCGATCAAGGAGCGGTATACTAGGAACTAAAGCAACTACAGTGTACCCACGACAGGGCCCACCTGAGTTCTTCGTGCACCGGCCGGGCTGCCTGGCAAGCTTTCAGGGCGGTGGGGTCGTCGTGGTCGTAGTCGTTGTTGCAGCTGCTGTCACCGCAGCTGCTAGTAATGATGAACATGTGCAGGGACAGCTGCGAGGAGGACAACAACGACCGTGCTGGTGGTGATGCTGATGATGACGGTGATGCGGGGCGACGGTGATGGTAATGCTTGTACTGATGCTTGCACTGATGATGATGATGATTATGATGATGATGATGATGATGATAACGAGGAGTACGGTGACGAAGGCGATGATGCTGACGCCGATGTTAATAATGCTGATGATGATGATGATGATGCTGATGATGATGATAATGATGATGATGATGATGGTAATGATGCTTGTGCTGGCGCTGGTGCTGACGACGATGATGGTGAAGAAGAACATCAATGATGATGACGATGGCAATGATTGCGTGTGTGTGTGTGTGTTTGCTGTTGCTGTTGCGGCTGGTCATGTCGTTGTCTTGTACTACTACCTCTACCTGGTCCTGCTCCTCCTTGCCCCTCCTCCTTCCTCGTGTCTGCTGTCTGCAAAACGGTGGGAAAGGGCGCCAGAGCCAGGATTTCGTATCGAACTGGCTTTCCACCCTAACCATGAGATAGGCATTAACGTAATCAGAACAGCTTCCTATGTGGTATACCACGCCGTGATTGGTTTAAGCCAACTGCACTGAATTATAGTTGAGCACGTATACCCTTCTCAATTTTCACGATTCTCCCAAGCAGCACGTCAATGCCAAAGGCCCGAGATCAGTTAATTTGTCATACGAATTTAGGGGTCGGGAGACGTTTTTAGATCATCCCCTCTTGTCTGTAGGGATAAGTTATCGGAAAACATAGACATACACCAAAACCCCACTCCTCATGATGAACGGAGCTTGCAGCAAGCACCTCCAAGTCGTCTTCGACGACTCTGGACTCCTCCGCGCAGCAAGCAGCAAACATGTGGACAAGCAATCATCTCGTCCCCCGGGCCTTCTCGAAAAAGAAGCCCATGCGCGCGGCTTGCAGCTCTTCTGCTGTGAGCGGCTGCTTTGGGGGACTCAGGCTCATGGACTCCACGCTGGCCGCCTCCCCGAAGGAGGAGCTGCGAGCACTGGAAGCACTGATCCGTCTGGGCGCTTGGGTCGCCTCCAGCCTGAGATCAGTTGAAGAATCCAGCTGCACCGTTTTGGCACCGCTGCACCGACCGATGAGGGCCATAAACTTTGGCGAAGGGGGATCCGGCTCGTGAGCCGGCAAAGCCAACTGGCGAAAGTTCATTAACGGTACTGCTCGTGAAACATGATGAAGGCTCCTGCAAGCACCCCGATGTAAGAAAGCCGGGGTAGCCAGGATGTTGACGTGGGATCTGCCGAACATGCAGGGCGGAGCTGATAATTCGTCTCTCAGCCTGTTCTGAAGAACGAAAGCAGCGCCGACATGGCTCAGTTGCTCGACGTCGCCAAAGGACCAGGCGGCGCTCCGACTCCGAAATGCTGGCAATGGAATATCGGATTCCGGAACCGGGCAAGGTCCGTGCAGATCGCTGTCGACACCCTCCAGCGTCTGAAAGACTGACTGCCGAGGATGGGATACCAAAAGGTCCACAGCGGATGCCAAGCCTCCCTCTGTTTCAGGCACGGGAGAGGTGTAGAATGGCTGCTCAACGCAGCCGATATCACAAGTAGCAGGCGGGTCTAACCTCGATACCGGGCCCTCTTTGGACTCATCCTGCTCTTCTATCAGCACATTGCTGGAATCAAGCTCCCCAATCCCCTGGATGCTCACAGGATCTTCCTCGCTGGGGCTCAGGTGATCTTCGGGGGCCTCATGGGGGGCCTCATCGGCCTCGTTCCTTAGGACAGGCTCCGCGGGCGTGTGCGGCTCCACGAAGCTCTCAGCGACCTCAGGGGGCGTCTTCGGGAACAGCCCCCCTTTTTTTTGTTGTTGGGGGGGGGGGGNNCGGGGGGGGGGGGGGTTCTCACTGTACTGCCAGGATTTTTTTTAAGGTTTCGTCAGCATTCGTCTGCGTTATTGGGGTCGCTTCCCTAGCTAATTAGACTCGGGTTCCCTATAGGGTTTCTTATTATGACTATTATGTTTTTATTGTGCAATATATAAGGATTAAGGCCCCTATGTTACACCTCCTCCATTCCCAGCTCAGAAATGGAGGCGTCTGAGCAGGAGTCCGAGCGCCCGAAGCGTGAAGCGACGCCCCACAAGGAGGCGCGATCCAGAAACACACCTCAGCCACAGGCGTTCATAAGGGTTACGACTATAAGGGATCGAATAACAGGATACTATAAACTTATCGGCCGTAGGGTTCCTTATCAATCAGCCACGTGGGCAGGCCTACCCGGCCATAGACTTACAGAAGTTCTATTGATGCCGCTATGGTCACCAGTATCTCATTCGCTCATTCTCTCACTCATATACACCCCATGACTTTCTCTGCTGCACACACTCTTATGGACTCATGGCCCTCTTGGGGCTTGGGATCCAGCTGCTAGATTCTCAGAGTTCGGCGCAGGTAGATGGAATAGTACGGGACAGGTATGCCTTTCAGAACCCCATGCTAAAGCAAAAGGCCGAATGTACGAGGCACAGCACTTAAGCCTCAACCAGTGTTGGTACTTAGGAAACTATACTCCATTTCCGTAGGATACTCCAAAAAAAAAGAGGTACCGAAAGCTCCCGAAATGCAAGAAACCGCTGCAAAGCTCTCACAGACCTACCAGCCGAGACCTGAGGGCTCTGCAGGGTCGTAGAAGCGTGGACGATGAGGGCTCATCCCCCAGGGCTGGGACGCGGAGTTTCCGCCAAGCATCCTCCAAGGCTTGGGTTTGTTTTATAATGACTGCCAGGACTCCCGAACACTAGAGGGGGTGGTGCTTGTGCTTAAACGTTTGCGACAAAGGCTCGCACGCTGCCTTGCTGATTATCTGAATCTTCGTGCTTGGGGACTTCTTCGCATGACAGCCATGATTGCTATGATCGCTGCACACGTCCCTCCCCACAACGTCCTCGTCTGCATCTTGCTGGCAACTCAAGACGCTGCCTGGCTGTTGCCAGTGCAGCAGCAGACGTACTAGTAGCGGCGGTACTCGGAACACAGGGAGGGGGGGACAGAAGCACAACACCAGCGGTAGCAGGCATGCTGCGGCACGGGCATCGCAAGCCTGCTGCTCCACCATCATTAGCACGTATCATCATGCTCATCGTCGTCGGCACCAGCAAGAAACCAAACCATGTCTATGGTTACACTCATCGGATTTTGCCCAGCGCAGGGATGCGGCTTGCAAGCTACCCTGAATTTGGTGCATGGCTACAGACGATCACCATTCTTTTCCGTTGCTCCGGAAAGGAAATCCTAGGACGTGCTGCGCGGAACCTGGATCGCGCATCGCATCGAAGCCATGGCAAGACTGGGCATGCATACATGGTCTCGTAAGTTAATTAAGGGCTTAGGGTTCAGAGCTTGGGGTTTAGAGTTGAGGGTTAAGGATTTAGGGTTTAGGGGGGTAAGCAATTAGGGTTTGGGCATGGATGATCAAAGCGTGTTGTCCTGAGGTCACATGAGCGCATCTCATCATCAGTACCGAAGCTTGCACTGAAACTTGAGTCTGCATGTCAAGCTTGACCCAAAGCGTCTGAACGTCCAGGACCACTCTCTCTTCTTAGATGAGGCATCCTGGCATAGTACTAGCCGAATTCAACAAGCAGTCTACTGAGCTAAAGCCACGGCCGTCAGTCCATCCAGGGTGTCACAAACAGTGCACATCGTGCAGGACAGGAGTGTCTCAGCATGCACGAAAAAGTTGCTAACTCGTGGAATCCATCAGTCTAAAAATTGAAAACTAAAACTCATCTCATAGACTTCCATAATCTTCAAAGAATTCCTCTCATTGTACACCAGGCCAAACTCAGAGAAGCCAACTCCGGAGAAACTGCACACCCGAGACACCCCACCTGCCCCCGCCCGTTCCCCCAAGATTTTTCCTTGAAAAACTGCGCGAGCAACCATAGAGATGGAGACCTGCGAACACTCTCAAAGTCGGCGTGGCCTTGGGGTTATATCAGGGCTTGCATAGAACACGGGGCACCTTATGTAAGGGTTCGTAGAGTAAGGATTCCCTGCTATGTCGGCTTTAGCTCGGGGTCTTTTTATCTTCAGAAGGCTTCGGGAGTTTGCCAAACAACTGCCCAAGCTTCTGCTTCTGTCGTGTTTCTTTCCCGCTCAGCGAAGCTCAGCCCGGAAACCAACCTGCAGCCCGTCGGCCTCTTCACGTGCCGCGGGCCACCATGGCCTCAAGGGCTCCCCAAGAAGACTCTGAGGGTTTAGGGTTTATAGGGCCTTTACAGGGCTTAGGGTTTCGGGTCTAGGGTTTAGGGCAGATTGAGCGCGCACTGTGGGATGACGGACACTCAGATCCCACAGTCACATCTTCACGTACACGACCGGCCATCACCACCAGCATCCCACGGAGGCCACAGAGGAACCAGACGACACACCCCCGTCCAAGGTTTTAGGGGGATCAAGGAAACTTAGCTGCAGGCAGGTTGCGGAGGGCTATGAATCGAACAAGATACTCCGACCTAGACTTAAGCCCAACTTTGCTCCAGGATCAGCCATAGATCCTGCACCCACTCACCTTCAACCCTGAAGCCTCGAAAACTGCGTTGAAGATGTAGAACAGTTTAAGCGGCAGGGCGAGCTTTGGGCTGTAAGCTCTGTTCAGGGTTCACAGTCCCTAAAACCCTAGACCCTAATCCTTGCCTATAAGGCCTAAGGTGCTAGACCGATTTTTCCCTAACGGCTTCAGTTGCGGGGGGTGGTTGTTGCTCTTGTTTGCATGCCTTTGTGTGCCCGTCTCGCCCACCGCAGCCACTCCACGACTGGAAACCACCGTCCCGCGCGAGGTTTTCGCCACGTCCCGCTCTGCATGGCCGACGATTCCGTCTTCTTTCCGCTCTCTTTGAGCTTTTTTGCACCGAATCTGACGTCAGATTCGGTCCCAGGTTTTTGGTTGCGACTTCGTCGTAAGCTCACAAAACGTGGCCCGCATGGTCTATTCCTCATTCTGTGAAACCACCGCTTTCTGTTTTCTTGCGCCTTGCGCATTTTGCTTGTTTTACGTCTTTGCCGTTGTCAGCAGTTTGATGTTGCACCTTGTACGTTTCTGCCGTTGTCGGCGGGGTTAGGGGTGGGGGGTGTTTGTCATTAACGTTCTTTTCACAATCAACAGTCACTAACACATCTCGAGTACCGGGCGAAGGGAGAAGGACGAGTAGGGTTCAAGGGAGAAGGGGACACCTGTAGAAAATAAACAGACAGCCGTTTGCGCACACGCTAAGCCTTAACCAAAGCCTAAACTGAGAACCCAAAATCTCCTGTACAGCCTCAATCATGGCAGCACACGACTTTGTCATTGTGAGTGTCATCACCACACACGAAACAATTGAACACGTGTATATATATATATACATACTAGCCAAAATCCTTACGAATCAACATTTCTGTCCAGCAGCAAACCCCCTCAAACAAACACTACAAAAAAAACACCCCCCCGCAACTGAACCCGTAGGGTCTTTCTGTTTCTTTACGTTGGGCGTAGGGGTCGCTAGCTAATTACCATCTATCTTTCTCTTTTTTTGTTCCAGGTCTTTGCGTTTTTCCTTGGAGGTGGCTGGGAGGCTGGAGGCTCTGCCTCCGCAGTGAAGCGCATCCCGAGGCCCTCTGAAAGGCGCTTCTTGCGCTCCTTCATCCACAGAAGAAGTCGTGCTTCTTGTGGGAGTTTAGGGCTAAAGGAGCTAACAGGGCTTATGGGGGCATATGGCAGTCGGGGTTTTAGGTTTTTTTCCACAGGGCTTTAGAAAGTGCGGGCATGTATGGTTCAGGACTTACGGTTTCGAACTCTGGGTTGAGGGTGGCAACCGAAGGAGCGTTCCCCGTGAAGGCTGCTGTCAAAGAGACTCGCGACTGTGAGAGCCATTCAAGACAATGCAGGGTTGGTTACCAATGTGGCTATGAGAACTTGAACCGGGATCTTTCGCTTGTAATTGCGCTCACCCCACTTACCAAGTCCCAAAATCTTTCATTAAACCCGACCCTTGAACTGGCTTTGTACAACCTTCACGAAACCCATATACACCAACATGCAACCTTTGCAATAAAAGCTTATCAGCGATGATAGTATCAGTACCCCTAGGTTACCACCGCCCTGATAAACCCTCATATTGAACTGGTTCAGTTTACAATGATTGTTGTGCTAGTGCCCGTCGCCTGTTTCTTCGCATCCTGCAGTGGTCGGGTGAAACTAGGACATACAGTGGGCTGCACAGTAGTTCCGTCAACAAGTGCTTTTCTGCATGCTGAGCCATTTGATCTTTGCATGCTGACATTCGTCATCATGGCAGTTGCATGGTGGGAAGCGGGATGGGGCCGATGCGGAGACCTTGAAGCCAGCTTTTGTGTAGCACCTTCGTGCTTTCTCGTTGGTCTCCAATACACTCAGATTTATCTTTCAAAACGAGAATCCAAAGCCTCTTGTGCGTTTCTCTGCGGCTTGAAGCAGAAGGCCGCCTAAGCCTTTGCCCTGGTGCCCGCGGTCAACCTTCACCGGCCCGATCGTGAGCTCCTGCTTCTCAAATTTTCGCATACACGTAGCCTGTAACATAGTTGTCGTTTGCGACACGGCCGGTAGTGTGAACGAGGAGGGCTTCAAAGCGCTTGCCAGCTCCTCAATCCACGCCACATGCTTGTCCTCGGCCGTGTCATCCACTACCACACCGACTAGAGTTGCTGCGTCCTTTGCAGTGAGGTTTTCGTACCAAGGCATTTCTGAATGCAGGTTTGCATGGTCCACTGCAAACTCTCTTTATGAACGTCGAAAGTTCTTGGCGCGGTCCTTGACAAACTCGCACACCCAGTGTTCCTGATTTTCTCCAACGTTGTGCTGCGACTTCTCTATGATCGGCTCGTGCATGCTCTCTTTCGTCTGCCATTCAAAGATGGCTAAGCGGCTCCTTGCTGCGGCAGCAGGACACGAGCTCTGAGGTGTGGGAGATGGCCGTGGGTGCTTCCTAGTCTCCGGCAAGTGCCGGCTCTGGGCTTTCAGCAGCTCACGTGGAGTCTGGTTATTTCGCTTGGACC